ACACACTCTCTCTCTCTCTCTCTTTCTCTCTTTCTCTCTCTCTCTCTCTCTCACACAACCACGCACACACACGCACACACACGCACACACACACACAAGCGTTCCCCCAACAGGGCGGTACTACTGACTGAAGTGTCTTTATGCCATTCCCAAAGGGGGACATTAATAATATTATGTTCTTATGCACAGAAGAATTGTAAATTGTAAATGGGCTCATTCATCAATGTCATGCTCATAACTGTGCCTGAACTGCAACAGGAAACTGCTGCTTTTTCTTTCCTAATCCTTACTATCGTCATTTAATCCTCTACCTCTTTTTTGTGTTTGTCACACTCTTGTGACCAGCTATTTCGGGGGTGTCTTGATAGTCGAAACAGACTTTGTGCTGTTGAAGCTAGAGAAGTGAGCAGAGTAAGCCTGATTCCTTGTAAGGACTTCTCTGTTGACATCTACCCCTTGGCGTTCATATGACCTTATGCAGTTGAGAGCGCCGTAAAACCTCTACTAAAACTAAAACACACATTCACTCACACACGCACACATACACTCTCGCGCGCACACACATACGAACACACGAGCGTTTGCAGGCACACACATATACACACAAACACAAACACACTCACAAATACCCCCCCTCCCCCACACACACACATACACACACTCACACACACTCACATACACACGGGTGCACGCCGACATACTATGCAATACACAGGCAGGGTTAAAGTTGAAATGGCGCGCCGTATACTAAGAGTTGACCTGGTGTTACAGTTGTGACGTCACAATGGCCAACATTCACGTTGCGGCAAAAGAAAGTCCACCGACGATTTTGGAGTAGGGCTAGGCGCTTTGCCGTCGCACACAGTAGACTCAGTTTGTATCGAAGGATACGTAAAAACAAAAACAACAACTAATAATGATAATGATAATAGTGATAATAATAATAATAACAGTTGTAGTAGTAATTTGAATAATTATACTAATAGTATAATATTAATGACAATTACTCGTATACTAATAGTAATGATGATGATGATGATGATGATGATGATGATGATGATGATGATGATGATGATGATGATGATGATGATAATAATAATAAATATAGTATTTGTATAGCAAGCTCTTCACGCTTTACACTATAACATTATTATTACCCCAACAGACCATAGAACATTCAGAAACATTCTCAGCTTCCCAAGAAGCATACAGTGCAACATTCAAACATACATTAATGTTCCCATAAACACCCCTCTCTCCCTCTCCCTCCCCCCCCCTCCCGCACCAATCCACCTGCCAGGACGTGGCGTCCACCAAAGGCCAGGTATGGTTTTCCAAGTGGGAGTTGGTGAGGTCAATCTACAAGGCCGTGCTCACGGGAGCCTGTGAGGCCGCCGAGATTAGTCTGAAGGGTGAGTGAATAGACAGACAGACAAATAGACACACAGACGGACACACAGACAGATAGACACACAGACGGACACACAGACGGACAGACAGCCAGCCAGACAGACACCGCAGAGTCTAGTCTGAAGGATGAGTGAACAAACAGACAGACAGACACACACACACACACACAGACATACACAGACACACTGAAAGACTAACGGATGGACGGTCGAACACACAGACACACATACAGACTGACAGACGGGCTGACGGACAGACGGACGGATGGTTTTTACTTTGGCATGGTGGGAGAACGGTAATATTCCAGATATCTTATATTCAGCCCTTCTTCAGTGTGAGAGAGGGAAGGGTGGTGTTACTGTAGAAGAAAGATTATAATCCTTTTCTGCTTTTCCTTTTTTGGGGTTGATAAGTATGCATTTAAAGGTAGGTGTCTTTAGCACAAAAAAATAGCGCAAGAGCCACTCTCTGTAAAGATTATGTAGTAACAAAACAACATATGTTTCCTCATACCCCCTTCCCTTTCACCATATCTCCTTCACATTCCTCCATATCCCCCTCCCCTCTCCTTCTTCCTGTGACACCCCTCTCCCTTTCCCTCTTCCTGTAACCCCCCCCTCCCCATTCCCCATACTCCCCCTCTCCCTCTCCCTGTACCCTCTCTCTCCCTTTCCCCATACCTCTACCCTTTCTCCATACCCCTCCCCTTTCCCCATATCCCCCTCCTCTTTCCCCACGCCCCTCCCCCTCTCTCTCTCTTCCTATAACCCCCCCCTCCCATCCACTCCAGTCCCTGGGTACACCGAGTACTGTTTCGGCAAGTGCGCCTCCAACCTGGAGTGTGTCAAGACGGAAGGCGGCGCCAGCATCTGTACCTGCAAACCCAACTGGTACTGGGAAGTGACCACTCAAAAGTGCATGAAAAGTAAGTTAATGTACAGGTTAATAAAAAACAACACGAAAACTGTACAACTTTTTTTGGTTAATATTTTCCCACACACTGACGTTTTGCATTTCAGATTTGTACACAACTTTTGGAAGCCAAAAAGAATTTCTCTTATTATATCAATTTTAGATAAATCCACAGAATAGTTTTGCTCTACATAGCGCGTAAAAAAAATAATCCATTTTCAGCTATGTCGCCATTTTGCAGCATGACGCACTAAGTTCGCTTCAGGTCTACCACTAAAAATCACACCGATTGCGTCATATTCCAAACTACAGTAGTCTAACAGGCCAACAGAAGTTTGCAGATAATTTTTCTCGTCTCCTTTGTACTATCATTATTATTGATATTATTATTATTATTGGTGGTTGTGGTGGTGGTGGTGGAGTGGCTAGTGCGCTCGTGTCCAAAGCTGAAAGTCTGGGCTCGAGCCTCGATTCGGACACAAATTTGTTCGCCCCCTCCTGCCCACCCAGCAGTAATGGGTACTTGATTTCGAGTCGGGGCAGTAAAGACGGCGTGGAAAGGGACTGGCCACCCGAGCGCAATGTGCCGAAGGCCCAGGAAGTTGTCTTACTAAGAAGGCAATCCGTGGGTGGTTGGTGGGTTCTCTGGTGTGGTTTGCTCCTTCTGTCCTATCAAACATCTATTGTCCTTATCTCCCCTTTTTCCTTTTTATGTTTTTTACTCTCTTGTAACATCTCTAATCTTCTGGCGCTCATATGACCTTATGCTGTTGCGAGTGCTGTAAAACCTTTACTAAACTAAACAAGGCAGTCCACAATGTCCGGATCTGATGCGGGAACAACTTAATTTTTATTCCATGATGATGATGATGATGATGATGATGATGATGATGATGATGATGATGATGATGATGATGATGATGATGATTATTGTTGC